GGGAAAGGGCAAATGAGACTTGATGGATGAAACCATCAGGAAAACCAGAGAATGAAGCTATGAAAAGAGTCAGTTAACCACCTGAGTAAAACCATCAGCGCCGTTTATAATGGGGTCTACAGCTTATACTAAACCTCTGTTTCGTTTAGTTAAATGTACGATACTTGCATTGCCTTGGCCTGGAATGAGCGTACGGATGCAGTCTCGGATGAAAGTCTTGATGAGGTTCGGTGGTGTAGGAGTCACGATCATCTTCTTCCTGGTTTGAAGAGTGATGAACCCCAAAGATGTTCTGACTCTATGGTGATTGGGAGTTTCTTCCCGGTGGAAAGTGAAAAAGAGCTAAGAGAGACATCAGCTGAGATCCTAGGATCTTTGGTGAATGGAAAGTCATGGCCCGAGGCCTGGCGCAGACTTAGGGTGTCCTTAGAGGGGTGCTAGCTCACATCCTCATCTTCTCAGAATCTAACATTAGAGGCTGACTGGCTATGTGTTGGAACCCACCAGGCACACCCGCACCGGCTCAGGCTCCAACACGCTTCTTAGCAGAAGAAGAACAACAAGACATGGTTTTCCTATGAATTAATTAGAGAAAAGTCCATTTTGCTGTGCATTGTGTCTTTCCTATGGAAAATGTAGTGAGAGGGAGAACTCTTAACATGCCATTAGGTCGTAAAGTTTATCTGGTCTAGCCAAGGTGTCATGGTTGCCATAGTAACCAGGGTCCTGGGCCTCGTTCACAGACATCTTGGCACCCAGTATGTTTATTGGGTGAGGGGTCTGTGAATGTTTGTTAATCTAATGAATAATTGATTTGTTAAATCAAATGAAAAATGGTGTGTCTGATTGGTCCAGACACTACAGTGAATATTTAAATAAATTTTAAAAAGCTTTAAATAGACAGAATGGTGACGAAAGTCTATAAAAATGGCAGCTGATGAAATCTTTTGTCAGAGATTAAATTCTTTAATGTTTTTAACTGGTTTCAGACAGTGAAAGGAGGTTATGCAGAGACCAGGATTGAAAAAAGGATCATCATAACAGGAGATGATGATGTGGATCAACATCAGGTAAGCAAAGACATGTAGATGTAATATACAGTATGTATAGTGATGGTCAAGTATGTACTTATTAAATATAAAGGAAGCCAGATGACCAGTGCTGGTAAATTTTAATATGCAATAAATAAATATAGAAAGCACATAGCCCTTTCATGATTGCTTACCCTGACTAAAAGACAATGTTCAGGCAATGTTAAGACACATTCACCTGTATTTTTATTTTTTCTTAATTTTCTTCTACTAGTATAAAATTCACCCAAAACTTTTTATAATTTAGTATGATTTGGAAAGCACTAAACCTAATTTAGCATACTATGTAGGTCAGCAAATAATGTAATGGTACATGTATATTAAAATCACTTTACTGTCATTAAAACTAACTTTCTGCAGGCTCTCGCCATGGCAATACAAGAGGCCAAACAGCAGCACCCTGATATGCTGGTGACTAAGGCCATAGTGGTCAGGGAAACAGACTCTTCATATGAAGAGAAACATCGAACATATGAGGTACAGCAAACATAAAGGACATTGGTTATTGAATTTCTAAAACTTAGAATTTCTTATTGTCCATTAAGGTGATATTTGAACATGTTAAACGCAAAGTGAAATGAAGTAAAAGTAATTTGAATTATAGGGTTTATCTCTGCAGTTAAATGATTACATCTCTTTCTCTCTCTCTGTGTGTGTACTGTGCATTTGTCCAATTGTTCCAGTCTTGAGCGATAGAAGGTGCTATTTGGAACATGGAGAGAAGATCAGCTCTGGTTCTATGTATTTCAGTTGAAAGGAGTTATGCTACTTATGCTACTGAACAGTTTGCTCAAAACAAATCACCCATGCACCCAGTCCTCTGCCATCACACTCTAATCTGTCCATTTTAGTGACAATCTCCCATCATCTGGTGTCTTTACAATGTTCTGTACCACTCTGAATACTTTCACCATATCAACAGTAGTCTGAACTATCTTCAGTCTTGTATAAATGTCAGTAGTTTAACATTTAATTTAGAGGGGATTTTTTTAAAATGCTGAAAGTGTTGGAATTCTAGTATTGTCTAGTAATTCTGTGACATCAGACTTAGTTCCTAGAATTACCTTTTTAGCGCTCACTTTTTTGAACTTTCAAAAAAGGGAAAAAAAAATCCTTAAGATTTAGGCTTCCATTTAAAATTCATGCATGACTTTCAAGAGATTACCTGAAAAAGTATAAGAATTGGCATACACCGAAGCCACATATACTTGATGGCCAGCTTCATATTTTTAAATAATATTTGATCAAGTGTTTGCTTGTTAATTATGAATATTTATAATTTCAACTGTCTTATGCATATGCAGAAATTTTGGATGTTTGAAGTATAGCATTTTAAAAGATACCCACACCTGACCAGTTAATAAATTAAAAGAGTGAAAAGACCCCACATCAAAACAGCTGAACAAAGCAGAATTACACATGCCATAATAATAAACAAATATTTCCACATACCAAATTGAATCCATGTGGCATTTTAAGATGTGGCAATGATTATAAAAAAGAAAACCTCCTTGCTTTTTTCAACTAGGTCAACTGAGTATACTCATGGCTCCATTTTAAATCTTGTTGACTTGCTTATTAGGTGACATTTTTAAGGCATCATTAACCTGACACAAAGGCTGTTCAAAAAGATAATTATACTGCTGTCTTAGAAATCTTTGTTGTCTGAATTCTAAGCAACACTTATAAATAAGGAAATTCCATAATACATTTTAATGGGCTCAGTGAAAATATCCAATCCAAGATGGTGGTTGAGGTTAGAGAAATGTTGCGTTTATAGAATCAATTAAATAATAATGTTTTATAAATAACTAAAAATGTGTATTTTTATTTTTATTAGAGTATCGTACCATTACTCACATTCTTTATTTAAATACATTTAAATACATACAAGCTTCTGTGGGGAACGTTATTTGACATATTGTATCATATAATGTTTTAAATCTTTTCTATATTATGTTTAAATTCAGTTGTTTCCGGATGTTGCCTTGGAAGGAAGTAGACAAAGCAACTCACAAGGTTGTGTTCTAGTTACTGATGCTTGATCAATAAAATTAATTTAGTTTTTTTTTTTTTTAATGTTTATCATGCAAGGCTTTTTTAGATTTTCAGTGAGTTCTATATAAGTTATGCTGTATGACTTTGACTTTATGACTTTTTTATATGCTCGCTTAATGTGAGCTTTTGGGTTTTCCATCTCTATAAATTGTCACCATACAACAGTGTGAATGTAACATTATATCTGACCTACAGTATGTGTATATTCCAATCAAAAGCATAACACATATTTAAAAAACAAATACATATAATTATAATATTATGCATTGTCATGAAAAACAATCATCATACAGTATATTGTATTTTCTATGCATTCTAGTGCAGTAACCTAAAATAAAACCACTAACAGAGGGGTAACAGATAAGAACTGACTTCTGCAATAATTAATGTTTATAGATAAAACTGTGATTATACATGTTTATTCCACATTATGGATATATGCACCAATGTGTCACTGTTAACCATGGTTTTTGTCTCTTTATGTACACTACTTCTCAACACTTTCTCCTGAGGGATGGAAGATGCTTGGGAAATGTCTGCAGAATTTTTGTGGACCTGCTCAAAAGTTAATCCTACTGTTCATTTTGGAAAAATGTTACTACATGATTGGTTGTGTTGAAACGAGGGAAAATTCTCATATGTAGATGCAAGAGCATCATCGGGTTTCAAGCAGTTGAGTCTGTTATTAAGCAAAAGGTTAATGGAATAAAGGACTGTTACTGTGATTAATATGACAGAACTTCATTGTATCAATCATATTATGTGATGGATAGCTTTGTTTTTGCTGTGTATTCATTATCAAACTACAAAATTAGCTTATTTTTTAATTACTAAAAATGTCATTATTTTTTATGACAAAGTTAATAATTGTCTTTTATTGACAACATATTTAAATTATCTTGTATAATTTTGATTAGATCAGATAACATTTGAAGCAGTCATGTTACATGCCTGACATGTTGCATGTCACATTTCATTCTTTTTAAAATTTTAAATGGGCCATTTTTGCTTGTCTGCTTTGTGCTCCTTTCTAAATGCCCCTATTACATGTGAAATGAGTAAGACCAGTTTAATAACTGTAATGATAATCCACTGTAGGTGAGCGTAGTGAATCCAAGTGCAGAACAAAGTGTACTGCAAAATACAAACAAACGAAGACTAGACTTGACTGAACTTGACTATGACTTAAACACTCATCGACAGCAGGAATTTTGAACGAATCTTTAATGTGACTCGGGAAGAACGAGTCATCTCGGGGAGTGATTCATTCAGTCGCGCATGCGCAACATCCTATAGGTTCTGTACAGGAATTTAGTCAAGTAGTTCACCTGTTTCGAGTCTTTGGGTTTTCCGAGTCGTTCGTGCATCACGTGACAGCCCCATAAACTTAACCAATGCGGTCTGAGCCGGAAAGAGAATTGATTAGTTCATCTCTCGAGTCTTCGGGTTTGAGTCGTTCATTCATCACGTGACAGCCCCATAAACTTAACCAATGCAGTCTGAGCCGGAAAGAGAATTGATTAGTTCATCTCTCGAGTCTTCTGGTTTTTCGTGTCGTTCGTTCATTATGTGACAGACCCATAAGCTTAACCTATGCAGTCTGAGCCGAAAGAGAATTGATTAGTTCATCTCTCTAGTCTTTCGAATCATTCGTTCTTTTGTCACATGACAGCATTGGTTAAGGATTGGTTAACGAATGACTCAAACCCGAAGACTTGTCAGATAAGAGGTGAGGTGAGCTAATCATAGACTGAAGACCCAGGTAAACAATTAATTAATCTTTTCTGTTTCTTATAGCATTATAATTTTGTATTGTTTGTTGTGTGATCAACGTTTCCGTTAGTAGATGTGTTAGGGTAGTAACACGTAACATTTTAATTATATTTTGCTAAAATGAATGAAATAACTCGAAAAAAGACTTGTTAATTTTGCTGAACGAGACTCAAAGGTCCGAGTCGGTAAAATGATCCGAACATCCCATCACTACTAAGCACAAAGGCAACATGATGGCTACTTATAGCAAACAATCAGGGTCACATGACAAGAACCAACCAATGAGTCTGACTCAGCCGGCGCAGTTTCTCCAGAGCGGCTGCAGGAGCGTTGATGACGACAGCCATTTCAGGATTGGCCAGATTCACCGCATGACAACTATCACGTGTGTTTCAGGTTTAGTCTAACCTTTTCAATTCCAATAATAGCCACAAATCTGTGTTTTTAGAACAGTAATAGCTTTTTTACTGTAGTCGCAATGTTATATTGTCACGTTTATCATAAAACACTGATGAGCAGTTTCTCCAGAGCGGCTGCAGGAGCGTTGATGACGACAGCCATTTCAGGATTGGCCAGATTCACCGCATGACAACTATCACGTGTGTTTCAGGTTTAGTCTAACCTTTTCAATTCCAATAATAGCCACAAATCTGTGTTTTTAGAACAGTAATAGCTTTTTTACTGTAGTCGCAATGTTATATTGTCACGTTTATCATAAAACACTGATGAAAGCATACATTCCCCCACTTTATTAGTATTTAAATAGTATATATTTACATTGCACTTTATTCTTGAATAGATGGCAATGTATTAAGACATATATAATCAGTATATATTATATATGTCTTAATCTGTTGCTCATGAAAACGTTTCTGAAACGTCTGTATATTTGACAAATTATACATTTCATTCACTTCATCTGTGATAGAGTATGCAAACACCGCTCGAGCGTCACTAACGGGAGCAGAAAGTGTCCTGCTTGATGGCTCTGTTTTCAACTCCGCCCCCGACTGCATGCGGCTACTCTCGTTGACTGCCGTCTGTAGCCATGCTTCAAGTCGAACGCACCTAGTACCACATGGCAGGATCACATGGCAGGGTAGGAAAAACACATGACAGGAACATGACCCAAGCCAACATATCAAAATAAAAGACATGAAAACCTAAACCAGAAACAAAACCCAAAACAGGCCTTACAATAACACACACGAAAGCAGCACATATTTATTTTCAACCCAGATATGTCCATCCCAAAGCCTGCACCAGAGGGCATATGCATCCTTGAAACTGAGGAACGGGAAGAGCTGATGAGAATATTTGTTAAAAAGTACAACAGGAATGCTGATGAACATGTGGAGGAGACACTTGTACACCTGTGAAGTAAAGCTATTATTGGCTGAGACAGCAGAGCAGCAGATGTTACTTGTGAATGTGCATTCTTGTTGAACAATACTAATAGACCTTGGCCTCATCCTAAACAGCAGCCTAACACAGCTACCTAACACAGTCAGCACAAGGATAGTTTGCAGAGGTCTGAAGACAAGATGAAGAAAATTTTCGAGGACCTATGATTGAGAGATCTAGTATTGCAGCCTTCATTTGTCAGTTGAAATGTCATAGGTAAAGTTTCACTTTTATGCACTGCTGTACAAAGAGTAAAAAAAAAAAAAACATCTTGCCTATTGCAAAAATGCCACCTCTTTTTCCAAGTTGCGTAGATGACCTCTATCTTTCTTTCACTTGTTCTTCTGATAAATTTTCAGTCGTTCTCTATGTGCAGTAGAGAAAGATCAGAAGATCAGAGCCAGTTTCTTATTCTCCTCATAACTGAGAACCTTATTTCTGATTTAGCCGAACCAACGGGCAGCATGAGTGCAAGCTGTAGTAGTCTGAAAAGGTTTGGATATTTGTCCTTCCGTCCTGAAGCAATCTTCAAGTTTCTCAAGAGTGATTGGCGATACAATTGCACAATTCACAATAACTATTTCAGCTGTCACAAGCTGAGGGTAAATCTTAAAGCTTACGTACTGTATATGCTTAATAAATGACTGATGCCATTTTAGTTACATCTGAATACTCAACTGAATACATAACATGCCACACTCAAGGCCATCGTTTCATGTGAAAACTGCCAGTCCATTTCAGCCAGCAGTGACTCAGTCCACCACATTTTTATTAGCAGGTTAAATAAAAAACGATGAATATCCATTTTTCAGTTAACTTGCTAAAGAGGGAAAATAACGAAAAGAGATTCCTCTCATGTATAGAGAATGTGAAGCTACGCTGTGGCACCGCCGCCATTCTAGGAGGATTGCCCTCTGCTGCAAATACTGAAATGAATAAGGATGCCTGCTTATCTTTTGTTTTGTTTTGGCCTTGAAGTTAAATATTCGCATTCTTCAGTATATCATTTGCAGGGAAGAGAAGCTTTATCACTTTGCCTGAGAATTTGATTTTTCACTCAAATTTTTTTGTTTTTTTTGTTTGGTTTACAGTGTTGATCTGATTAGGGTGAAAACAGTGTCACAGGTGGATGCTCGCTGCTGCTTCAGCCTTCAAATGGTAAAATATCCAAATAAAAGTGTGTTCAACAAGCTGACAGAAGTCCGTCCATTTTTTTGTTGGAAGTGTTTCATTGACGGAGTATAATTTATTGTCATTGTAA